ATTTCAGGCAGGATGGGACTGTAGACAGGGCTAGGGACTGGTTGAAGATCCTGGTGAAGACTCCAGCCAGTTGATCAGCGCAATCTTTCAGGACACGTCCAGGGATGCCATCAGGCCCAGCAGCCTTCCTTGGGTTGACGGCCCGCAGTGTGCGCCTCACCTCGTGCTCCTCTACCACGAGGAGTGTGGTGTTGTGGGTCACTTGATGTAGTGTGGATGCCACTGTTGGCTTCACCTCGAAGCGGGTAAAGAAGAGGTTCAGCTCCTCTGCCAGCTGAAAACTGTGTAAATGAGCAGCGTAAACATGATGAATTCCACCTGTACGTATTCATCAGTCTGGATAACAGCAGACTGACGGCACTTAAAATATACCACAGGTCTGGACCACATGTGAATTTTGTTTGTATCTGAAAAAAATCTTACGACAAAATTGGTGAATGCCAAAAGTTCTCCTAAATCACTCGTACGATCAACTTAAGAACAAATCTGTTCGTATGAACGGTTTTTGCAGGAGGCCCAATGTTTTAGACCCCAGAAATAAMGGTGAATGGACTAAACTTATGTAGTGCTTTATCAAGCCCTATGGGGACCTCAAAGCACTTTACACTACAGTCATTTACCTATTCACACACACGCATTCACACACTGAAACAGAGACAATACAGACATAAAATAAACAGAACCACAACTGTAATTATTATTATTTCTCTTTACATTTTTTTCTCTTGATTTTCTAGAATTTGTCAGGAGCCAGCCTCAGTTTCACCTCATGAGTGGTCTGATGACATCACACGGTGGCCGGTAAGTTTCCAACCACAGCTGTTCAAACGCTCTTTGTTCCCATATGTTCATTTTTAGTAACTCAAAGCAGCAACTTTTCTAAAATCTGTTTTTTAATGATAGTTGAAGGAAAATCGATGTTGTTACTGAGCCAAACGTGAAGTCAGGGGTTTTCACAGAGTCAAAGAGTAGGGTCCGTGTATCATTTGGTCATGAAAACAAGAAATGAGTGGCTGTTTGTTTTTTGTTTTAAAATACAAAAATTAAAAGGAAAATACAAAGCATTTCTCATTCTTAGAGTCTTAAAAAAGATGAGCGAAATTTAAAAAAATATATCTGAGTTTCATTTTCTGTTTTGGATGACAAAAAATAGAAGAACTTTAAAACAGAAACCAAAAAAAGACTCAATTGTTCATATTCCACAGCAGGTTGTGCCAAATTACTGTATCCCCAAAATAATCTGTTCCACCACCAGAAGGGGCGCTCATCTGGCAGCTCTGCATAATACAATGTTCATTTCTGTAAATAAAAGGTTGAAACACAGACATGCATTATACATGCATGAGTTATACTGTATGATGACAGCTGCTCTGTGACCAAGGGCTTTGCAGAGATACTCTGTGTGGCCGTTGATCCGATACCAAGTAAATACTTGGCAAATATATTTGATACCAAAGTCAATATCGATGCTTTCTACTTGTAATGGGATGCTCATCGAATCACTTTGAAACTGCTTTTAGTTAGTCAAATATGATGAAACAGAGAACAAAGATTTTTTGAGAGGGGTGTTTTTTTAAAAGAATTAGCAACAGCAATAAGTTAAAAAATATAAAAATAATAACATTTTGCTTTCTACTACACAT